TATGTAGCCCAAACTGGTCTTGAACTTGAGATCATTCTGCCTTAGCCTCCTAGTGATGGGATTACACTATGTATGGCAAATTGAGAAATTTGTGGGAGCATTTATTTATATTTCTGTTTGTAGTTCAGTGTGTTACCTTGTTGATTTCCCATGAACGTTTTCAAATGCTTTGTAATATGAGATAAGGAAAGAGAGGAATGAAAGAAAGAAGGAATGAAATAAAAGGAAGGAAGAAATAAAGAAATAAAGAAAAGAAAGGAAGAAAGAAAGGAAGAAGGAAGGAAGGAAAGAGAAAGAGCAAAGGAAAGGAAGGAGGAAAGCAGGAAGAAAGGAAGGGAGGGAGAGGAAGGATGTAATAGGGTGATGGAAGAAGAAAGAGGGGAACAGATTAGAAATGATGAGATCCAGTGGGGTGTAATTGGGAAATTCTGTGAGTTAGGAAACAAATCCAATTTCCAAACATTTCTTCTTAACTTACTCTATTACAGGGCTGTAAATGCAAACTCTTTCTTAATCCATGCTCATTTTTAGCTATCACTTTAGAAGGCAGTGAGTCATAAGCAGGAATCTGCTAGGTTTTTTTGGGAAGGATTTGGCACTTTATGTGAAAGAGACAGATGAAGCTATAGTGCTACTTCTCTTTTCTTTTTCTCTGCCTTAAATAGAAAGAAGATGTCTGGATTTGGGGTAACCACCTTGTGACTAGGATGTGGAAAATCTGAGAAGACTATGAGAACTCTGTAGGTGCCACTCCAGTGTAATTGATCTTTTGAGTGTAACTTGCAACCTTAGACTTCTGTGTTTAGAATTTGGCTGATTTTCAATGGGACTCTATATATTGAGACTGAATATTTGATTAATTAATATCAGTATTAATTAATACTGATATCAAATATTTGTTTCAGAAATATTAAAGGAATGAGATACCCTGAGAGGGTGGGATTAAAAAGTAGATGGTTAAAAAAAACTGATCAAGAACAGGAAAATTGAGATGAGTTTAAAGGTCTAACAAACTGGTGGCATGAAACAGTAGAGTCTTTGGGTGAAGACAAATCTGTTTTGAGCATATATATCTCAAGGGAGCATATAGGACATTCAGGTGTGGTAAAGCAGATGCACATAACTAATGATTTTCTATTGTAATCATATCCTGGAGTTTTCACTTGCCAGTGATAGCTGCATTGAGAGTCAGTGATTGAAATCACTAGAGATAGTAAGACAAAGGACATTGGGGAGCATCTATAGTTGGTATAGAAAAAGTTTTAGTAGAATCAAGCAACAGAATATGAAAAGCATAGAAATATGGAAGGCAAAGTTCCAAAATGATGGGTTGCCTAGTAATATGAAAACAAAACAGTGGGTTCAAACACAATAGGTGAAAAATCTATCTTCAAAATGATGTTTTCTGCCACATGATGGCCTTCCCTGTGACTCAGTTCTTTTACCTGACTCTACGTTTTACTTTTCACACATTCCATCACTTGCCACTATCTCAGGCTTTCTCTTCAGTTAAGAAAACTCTCAGCACCTTAAATTATTATATGAATGAGTGTCATATTCTCAGTTGTTCTTCTTCTTAATTAATTTTTCCTCTTTGATGAATACTGAAAATCTAGCATTTATCCTCTCTATCAAAATCAATTTCTATATCACAAATAACCAAATCAGAAAAGGACAGACAACCAAATAGAAAATGGGCAAGATGCTTGAACAAGTATTGCATAAAAGAAAATATCCAAGAGCCAGTGAGCATTTGAAAATCTCTCAACCTCATCAATAATTAAGCAAGTGTGTATTAAAACTACAGTGCATTATCACTACCCTCAGACTTACAACAATCATACTGACTACAGTTTGAAAGACTGATAATATCAAATATTGGTGAGGACACAGAGCAACAAAACTTTCATATACTTTTATACAGGTGAGAGTATATTCCAAATTATATCACCCCTTTGGAAGATTAGCATTATCAGTTAGGAATGATTATATATATACCTTATGATCCAGGAATTCTACATCAAGCTATATATATATGAAATATGTATGAATGCTTACCCAAAGAAATTTATAAGAATTATCAGAATAGCATTTATTGTTATAGCTCTCAAATGAAAATAAATATCAAATAATCTACCCTAATTAGAATAGAAAATAAATTATGGTTTATTTCATACAGTGTAAGAATATACTGGAATGAAAACAAAAACAAACATGCAAACTACTGCAGAATACAGCCTGGACAAATCTCAAAAACATAATGTCAAATAAGCCAAACACACAAAAAATGTTTTTGTATTCATTTACAGAATATTAAATGGACAAGCTTAGGTACTAACATACAGTGAGAAACTGACTTATGTTGTTAGAAGTTAGGATTTTGATAAATTTGGCAAGGAGATGGAGATGCTATAGTGTAAATATCATTGTACCTTCCCCCGAAATTCACAAGTTGTTAACTAATATTCAGTGTTAGTATTTAGAGGGGAGGCCTTTGGGAACTGATTAAGCCATAAGAGCTCCACCTTCATGAATGCAATGAGTGCCTCTATAAAAGTGGCTCTTATGAACTCCTTGCCCCATTCTGTCATGTGAGAATACAGCCACAAGCTGCCATCTCTGAAGCAGGGCACAGCCCTCAGCAGACACTGAATGCTCAGGCACCATGATCTAGGAATTCCTAGTCTCCAGAATTGTACACAGTACATTTCCTTTGTTTCTAAATTAAGGCATTTTCTTTTACTATTACAAAGACAAATGGTAATGGGTGTTATTTTAATGAAGTTGCAATTAAAGATTCAGAGTGTTTTAAATGTCTGTTTCTTAAAAGAAGTGATGGTTATGAGGCTTCAAAATGACTCATGAAGCCATCTATTTATAACTTGTGCTATTTTGGGTATATGTGCATTTCTCAAATTATTTTTCAAATTTTGTGTCTCTACTTCCTATCAGATGATTTTGAAATTTTTGCTTCATGATATTGAAATTTTTACTTCAAAACCTACTTACTGACTCTTATTGCTCCATCCCATAATCATTTTGGGTTGTTATCATGCTTAACTTCTGGAAACTTAATTCTCTTTTATCTCTCTTAGGCAATCCTAATGGATTACCTTAAGCCCTTTTTTCCCCTACAATTTTCTATCTCTTTCTTGATTGACATCTTTAATTTTCTTTTTTGCCTCTTTCTTCTGTTTTATAATTCATAGATCACACTAGAGAGTTATGTAATTCTAATTTTAAATTAGCCTAATTTCGCAATCTCATTTGAGAATGGGAGGAATTGTCTAGCAAGAGGGTAAACATTTGTTAGAATAATTTTGATAATGGGTAAATCTACATCTGCTATATCGTCATTCCATTCCCATGGTATCTATCACTTCTTTATAGTTCCACCTAGATTGGAACTAGTCATTCATACCTTCATTTATTTGATTGAAAGTTCCAGGAGAATTTGACTGGGTTGGCACTTTTATTTTTTAAGAGAAAGAAAATTTGAGATACACTCAGAGAATGGTTTTAGTAACTAATGTTCTTAAGCATGAGAATTACATATAACACCTAAGTAAACACTTATGTTTTCCTTTCAATGGAAAATAAAGTATATATCTGAACTACCTCCCATAACATCATACTTGGAGAAGAGAAAAGAAGGGGATAGGGGACCATAAATTGAGAGCAGAATGTAGCAATCCACATGTTTTGTACTTTGCATTCTCACACTGAATTTGAGGTCTTTTGCTGTTTTCCCAAATTAGTACTTTTGAAAACAGTTTTAGAAAAGCCAAGTAACTTGTCTAAGAGCATATGGATTTGAACCTTGGCTGTGTGATTCACAAACCCATGGTCTTTCTTCTCTATCTTCCTGTCTCATTTCTATGAAGGTTAAAGAGACATGCATGTATAGTAAGGGAGTGAAGCTGTTGATTACTTGTGTAACATTTTAAAATATGACTTTTTATTGGTCTTCCTTTATTTTGGTGCTTAACACTTAATATCTAAATTAAGAAGACATTATCTTTATATCTTTTGTAATGCACCAATTTCACAGCTATCCATCAAACCAGTTGGAAGTCGTGGATGGGAATTTCTAGAGAGTGCTGATAATGGCGCTAAATTTCTTTTCATTAGTTCCATTCATTAGCTTCAATAACTCAATATATTAACTAGATCTCACATATATATTAATTCCATAACTTATTGATATTCAGCATAAAATTCGATCATCACCTTTTTAAACATACGACTTGGTTGCTGAATCAAATAGAACTGTTACTTAAGAATTTTTAATACAGATTAAGAGTTGAATTTTGTGTCTCTGATTTCTTTTCACTACCACTTGCTTATATACAAAGAGACACAATTCCTAAATGGCAAACAATTCAACTGTGATTTTGAACTGTATAGGAAAATAAGTTTTTGTGAAAAGCAGTATAATAATTTAGCAAGAAACAAAACAGCTTGTCAATTGCAATGGTTAGCCTACTTAAAGTAACTTGGGTAAAACCCCATCTACTGAAAAAGACTACTTAATGTACTAATAAAATCTACTTGCCTCCATCATTATGTGGGTAGGGTAGGTGAGAAACTGTTTATATTTAGAATGCGTTATAGTATGACACAGTAGTAAAATAAAATTTTAGTAGTCCTTGCAAACAGTGACTACTTTTAGTATTTCATCTGTTTCCAGCTGTTTGAGCCACTGACTAACAGTTGCACCACCTGCAGGATGCTCGTGTGTCCTGTTGACTAGAGGCAGGCGCTGAGAGAGCAGCTGTTAGTAAGGAAGTGAGACCATAGGAATGGCAAAACATGGTTTAAATAAAGATGCCTAAAGGAAAAAGAATACATATTATTTAATATAAAATTTGCTCTTTTTTCAAAAGTTGTTATAATTTTACATAGATACAACTTCAAGGTACTTTACTGAAGTGTAGTCTGACCATTCTTCCTCAGAGTGATGTCTGGGGTGAGGTGGTAACAAGGAAATTATGTCATACCTTTGCTTGTCCAGCTTTTGTAATGGCAGGAATGTTAAAGAACTGTCCAGTGTAAAAATGCACCCCGCTGAACATGATCACTGCAATAGAGTCTCCTTCCTTCTCAATGACTTCCAGAATATCCTCCATTCTTAAGATTTCTTCCCCCTAAGTTAAGTTAGGTGCAAGTCACATAGTATTGGCAATAATGAATTTATTGGTTCTTATCTACCAGTCTAAATTTTACCAAGAGCTCACTCACACCATAAGAAAAACAAGATAAATTCTTTTGCCTACACTAATTCTCTTCAGACATCTGGCAAAACAGCAGCATTTAAATGTGTTTTTAAGTATTAGGAAATGATATTAAAATAGTTTAAAGAAGTTCTTTAAAATGTAAGTCTGCAAAAGTCTACTTGCTTGATTTACCTTCCGATTTTTAAATTAACCTTTACTATTTATACACATGCACAATATTTTCTCAGTATTTTTATCCAATAAATATCAAAATTTCAAGGAGTTCATGAAATATCATATATCAAGAGAAATTGTTGGAAATTGTTGCACTTATCAATCTAATATTGTGTTACTTCTTTCAAAAAATCAGTTATTTCATCTGAATACTACCTAATTAATACTTCTAGCTTAAGAGATGATGGGGGCAAACCTAACCAATGTACAGTGTAAGCATATTCAGAAATGTCACAATGAATCCACCCCGTACAACTAACATATGCTAGTAAAATTCTTTGAGGAAAAAAAAAAAAGAATAAAATCTTCTCCAAACAAATCTAATGATGAAGTCCTAACTATGAAGAAAATTATAAAAAAAACTTACTGGTATCAAAGATACTATCAAATGGAAACAGGATTGACACTGAAATCTCTCAATTGTTACATGAAATATGCTTTGTACAGAGGAAGAGAAGACTTCAGTAATTATAAGAAAAATCTAAGTAAAATTAAAGTCTTGGAAATTCAAAAATCTTTATTCTGAAAAAAATCTAATAAGGTTTGCCCACCACAATTTCAAAAACAAGGCTGAGAAAAAATATTGCATAAACTAGCACTTTACTTATTTAAAGAATTAGTATTAAGCAAATAACAAATGTAGCTCTCAATGGTAAGATATAGTCCTTGTCACATCGACTTGGTGTCATTTAGTAATGCTGTAAGACTGGTCCCAGATTATGATCAATTTGTCAGACTTTAAAATACTGGTCATTTATAAAACTAAGACTTGGGATTTGATGGCTATATTCACTTATGCTGGATATTAGTAATGGATACAGGACATGTAAACACATATCCTCTCATAGGTGTGAGAACTTTTGTAGTCCATTCCACTAACTTATTGCATGTTGGCAAATAGAAATGAATAGGGCAGGTCTGTAATTTCTTCAGAGAAATTAATTGTTCAAACATTGACTTAACAGCCTAGAAGCATCATATGTGAAACCTAAAATTTATTTCATGATTCTCTTGTTGCCAAAGAATCCAAGCTGCAGGGTTTATATGTCAATGTCCATACAACTCAACCTTATAGCCTATTAAAATAAAGGACACAGTGTTTTAGATCTTTAACATGTTTAAGCTATATTAGAGGCACTCTTTTTTAACTATTTAAATATTAATGAGTCTTAGACATATGAAGTGACTTTCCTAAAGTCATAACACCCAGTAAACTGGAGGATCTGGGATTCCATTGGGTATATTACCTGTACTTTAAAATTCAAGCTTTCCCCAGTACACCTTATCTCTTTCTTCACTGTAGTCTAACACAATGGGACATATTTAATATGTAGATTACAAATGGATGTGAAATATATTCATCATTTAATTTCAACAAATATCACCGGGCTTTAGTCTAATTTTATTGACATTTGAGGGCAATTGCACTTGAAATTCAAAATGATATACCCAATTTGTCACCTTCTTCTCATGTCCTTGAAGACACTGGCAGACTCCAGTGGTATAAATAAAAAAATAAAAAAATAGTTTGCTTACCATATGTCTAGCCCTTAAGAAATGAAAATAAATACACTTCTGAGTTGTTCTCTATTTTAAACAAAGTGGTCTAACAGTAACAGAAGTATGCTTCTCTTATGTTTTCTTGAAAGTTTCATTAAAGTAATGAAGATAATAAACTTTTGAGGAAAAGAGAAGGAAAATCAATTCTGAATAGAAGCATGATGAATATTTCTTTCTTTCTCATGTACCTCTCTTGGCTTTATCATTCGCATACTTTCCTCAACATTAAGTCCGTGAAGTTGAAGTTGTGACTCAATAGCATACTGGAAAAAAAGGATGATTTATTTATTTAATCAAGTCCAAAGGATGTTATTACATGAAATAACAACTCTGGAAACAAGTAGTAAAATATCAGTAAGAGCATATTATTATACTAAATCCAAGGTCAAGATTAAACATGAGTAAGCAGAATACCTCAGAAAAAGATTGCTTAATATTATTTAAGAAGGAATCTGAAATAACTTTGAAATATTATATATTAGTGATGAATGGAAATGTAGAGGTCATTTAGACTTTAGGTGTTATAAGAGATTTTTATGCTAAAAGTCATCCAAGCTATGTCAAAACCATAATTTACAAAACAACCAAAGTGAGTGTTGTGGATTTGCTAGGCTAGGCTTGAACATAGGATGCCAAAATGTCTTACCTTAGAAAAAAAGTTAGTAAAAGGAAAGGACATTAAAAAAGTTATTTCACTGAGGATATAAGCTATACATGGGAATAAGCAATTAAAAGGGTCCTGAATTTTTCCAAGATAGTAATATTCTAATACTTCTTAGCAAGTTAATGGCTATTAACTTTGACACAATTACATGTCCTCCAATTCCAAGATGTGGGGGTAAGAATAGTTAACAATAATAATGCAAAGACAGAAATCAAGTTTCTCCAGCACCAACACTGAAATATGCAATGTTTTATGTTTACCTGTATGTACAGATCAAATTTCTTATCAAATGAATTGCTGATAAGGTAGCATGAATTTTTTTAATGAACTGCACAAAATCTTTTTAATCTTTAATAAATATATTTGATGACAAAATGGCACCAATGTTTATGCAAGTGTGCTATGAAAACACAGAAAAATAAAAGTTTATATTTCAATTTTATGTAGCCAAAGAGTTAAGCATTGGAGTTTGTATTGATTCGATTCCATAAAATAAAACAGCAAGAAGAATTAATAAAAAATTTATAACCACACTTGATTTAGGTCAGCGGTTCGCTCAATGTCTTTAAAAAGACTAATAAATCAATGTTCTTATGCAATCCTTTTCTCCTGTAACACGTGTTTTACCTGAACAAAGAAAGAAATCTATAATCTATAAAAATGCTTAAATCAAAAGCATTTGACAGATCTTTTTATTGTAATGTTATTTGGAAAAGACTGGTGAATAAACATTCAAGTCAGGCAAATGATATGCTCCTCTAGGAAGAGTAGAAAGGACATAAATACAACTTGAAGAACTCCTTACATGATCAGAAGGAAAGGCTTTGGCTTCCAGAAGAATTTTATACCGCTTTGGTGTAGGCTTAAAAAATGATAACTGCAATGAAATAGATTTATTGAGAAAGCATTAATGCACAATTTATATATTTATTCATTTTGTGCCACACTTTTATTTTACAGTCTCCAACATTTTGAGGGCATTAATTAATTAAACATCTAAGCTATCTGTGATGGGTACCTTTTCAATTAACCTTATTTCCATTGACTTATAAAGAGGAAGAAGTTACTGGCTCATTAGGTTTAACAATAGAGAAGAAGACTTGGGAAAATGTGAATCAGATAAAAACAAATTCTCAAACTTTACTTAAATTTTAATTGAAAAATTATCTTCCCCAACATTTAATGGTAATTTCTCTAGAGTAAATCTGAAATACCTTGCTCTATGTTTGTCTTGTTGATTTTGACTTATCTTATACTATCAATTTGGTTTCCATTATACAATTTTACTACTTTTTTTTTAAAGTGACATTTTATTTTTGGTCCATTTAAAAGTGCCTCAGCCTTAACATGGAGTTATGTCTGTTTCAGAAGCACCATTTGTTCTATGGGGCTCTTTAATTTCTCCACACAGTTGATAGAGAATGAGATTGATAATCGTAACAGAGAAGATAATAGCTACTGTTAATTGGGTGTTGATTATTGGCCTGAGTGCTAAAGTAGTTTTCATATATTGTCACACTAACCCTCATGCATATATGCAGTCAGTATTATTGTCCTCATTTTTAGAAAGGAAAATATTGAAAAGCTTGTTAGAAACGAAACAGGCACCAAGTAGCTTAGCTGGGAGACAAAGCCAGGGATGTCTGAACTGGGAGACATATTTCCAAAACATACTTCAGAAATGAAAGGAATAATTTTCAAAACACCAAGTAACTTCTACAGACTCTGTATCCTAAACTGAGAAAGCACTTGACATTTCAAGGTAATACTACTAAATATTAAAGATGTAAGAAATGCTTTAAAGTCACTTAAAGCATCATTTAAGGCAGTAGATTCCTTTTATCCAGTTTAGTTTTATTTTACAACTCTTTTTAACTTATACCCCAAACCTTAATCCACAAAAGTATACTGAGCCATAATCCCACTCTACTAAAATCTAGCATATTGGAATTGTCCTTTCTGAAATGCTCACTGCTTTGCCAGCAATTGTACATCATTGCATTTTGTACTTGCAAGCAGTTTTCCTTTTCCCTCACAATGATTCTTTTTCCTTATCTTCTGAAATAAGAGCTCTTCATTATTCAAAAGGTCATTGCAAGAGTCAACTCTTCTATGATTATGAAACTAACAATATATCATGGCCCCGAATTTCCTGGTAAAAATGAAAATAATCTCACAACATACTCTTAAGTAATAACACCATCAGAGCTTATGAATTAAAGGTACAAAAGAATCAGATTCTATAAATGAGTGTATTTTAAACATTGTAGAAAAGCAAACTTACCAATAAGAGATGTAAATTAACAGTCAAACCATTCATTAGGGCTATTTCTTTATCATTGGCTCCTGCAAGATAAAAGTATCATAATTTAGATTTTTCTATTAGTTATAAAGGTTCTTGGAATGACAAGGTAGGGAGCCTTCCCTCTATCATTCTTAATATTTTTCGAGATAAGTGTGTATTTGATGTGTCATCATAAAGAGGTGGAAATTTACCCACTTGACTCATTTTGTCAAATGATATCTGGACTATCATTCACATAGTTAGCTAAGAATTGTATCTCCTTTTTGATGCTGTAAATAATAATACCAAAATAATGAAGTGTTTTCTTTTGCCTATAAACTAAAAATGATTTATCCTATTATCAGCTAGTTTGTAAAATTCCCAGAGTACATTTTTGTGGTAAGTATATCTTCCAAAGGAATCTAAAAGGGATATTAAGGCCAGTCACATTTTTTAAAGTAGGTTGTTTCTAACATCAAATTAAAATGAACCTTTAAAAAAAGGTTACTTCTTCAAATATATTTCACTGTAATAATAGTGAGATATATATAGTTAGCAAAACAGAAGAGTTTCTTAGCAAAATCCAACAGCCTAAATAGCTCTGGAATTTATTCACAAACACTGAAATCAAAGACAATGTAGATATGTTCTTTCTGTTGAAAAATATGTAAATTAAGATACTCGCTACAGAATTGGAGTTCGATCTAATTCCATTAACAAGGATTTTAGGCACTAGAAACAGATCCAGAGATAGAGCTTGATGTCTTAAGAGTTCATAGCATAGTACTGTAATAATACAGTACTGTATTGTTTCAAGTTCTCATGACGTCTTTTAAAGGCAATTAGACCTCTGTAATAGGAATAGTGTCTCTTTTTCCACACTGAGAAAAATGGGCTATGTTCCTTAATGTTTGCAAGGTTGTATTGTTAAAATGTATAATGCAAATCCTACATTTTATATTCAAAGAGATATTTTGAAAGAGTTCCATTTTAAAAGGACAAACAGTAAATGGAATAATAAATCTAATAGGTTCCAGGATAAGATCTCCAGAGGTGTGGCCATTGTAAGGAAGTGTTTAACCTAGGAACTCATATTTTAACTCAGCCATTTTAAGAAGGATCAATATTTGCCTTAAGTCAAGGAAAATTTGCTGCATTTGCCTCATGAATTTCTAAATTTGATGGTGAACAAGTTGTGAGTATTAAAAGATGCATCCCTGGTCATTGTAAAGTTAAAAATGTCTGAAGTTAAGGTGCAGGAAGAACAATCTCATTCTACATATCTAGCCATATTATATAGATTTGATAATCTTGTCCCCCTTAGACATATTAGATAGATATGGTAAGCTTATGTTGTATATAATGGTATATACCTTCTCCTGTAGGGAGAAAATCTGTTTGAAATATGACCTAAAATCTAAATGTTACCAGATTTATTATAACTTTCTCTCTATATTAGGGTATGAATTTTTGCTATTATTTCTGAAATAAAACATTATGTATGATATCTGATCTTATCAAATCCTTGACTCCCTATTAGTTATTTACACACAGTTTTGAAAACTACTTTAAAAAAATGGAAGGGAGTAGAAGAGAAAAAAGGAAGAAAAATCAATAAGTAGTGACAGCAGAATTAGTAGAAAGAGAAATATTTCAAAAAATATAGTGAGAAAAAGAAAACATGTTGGTTATTGTAAAATGAAATCAAAGAAGTAGAGGAGATAGGAAGAGAGAAGACTTTCTATAGAAACTCAGATATTTTATTTTTGCTTGAATGTCACATTCTGATTAAAATAATGGATTCTCAGGGGGTGGGGGGGTTGGGCCTTCATGCAATGGAGGGACCAAAATGTTCATCTTAGATCAACTAATTTTTTTTCTACATGCACACCTAACCCCAGATATGCTGGAGTAAATTAATTTGGACTTATATTTGGCATTCCTCTATTTACTTCACTTCCAGTAGCACGCTCATATTTGGGCCAATTCTTTGTAAGTAATCCCTCAATGATTTGAATAATTTGTTTACCTACACACAAAATTATCACACTTTAACCAATTCAAATTGAATTCAACCAAGCATCTCAAAAATGCTATCCTCACCTACTATTGAACCTTGCACAAGAGCAGACTGGGTTTATTAAACATGCATGCATGCACATACAGGTACAGCTAGGAGTGGTGCTAGTACTAAAGTATTAAAACATTAACAGAAATGTTGATTGCAAAATATACCCTAATGGCGCTGAAGAATCAAGCATTCTTACCATCACCACCATTTGAGCTGAGTTATAGTTTACTTTCAAAACAAAATTTACCTAATTGACCTACTTCTTTGGGCTCAAATTGTGCTGAAAACAGCACTGTTCAACTGAGATACTTCAATATCATCAGAATTCTGTAAGAAAATAAACCTTTCTTCAAAGTGAATTGAAATTCTTTCAAGTTCTTTGTTCCTTTTCTTTTTCCTAAGAGCCTTCTTTGAATTAGTGTGGAAACATCAAGAAGCATAAGTATTTAGGGGAAGATTTTTTTTTAAACTTCTAGAAAATTTAACAGGATTTGAAGGGCTCTTTATTTTAAAAGATCATCTACAATATATGTAATAAATGTCAAGATTTGAATCACTTCATCTGATTCGGGTGAGCCAGAGTTCTTACTCAAAGAATACTTTCTTGATTGTTTATTACTTACTTATTCATTGAACATTGCTTTTTATTTTTATTTATTTGTTTTTTTTTTTAAAGAAAATGAAGTTTAAGTAAATGCAAGCACTGCCTTGTTTTGAAATCTGGCTAACTATCAATTCTGAAACCAATATTATGAGCCAACACTTCTAAATCTAAGACCTTGTGATCACACTGTCTTCACTACAAACTGATGAGATCTCTACTTTGATTCTCTTCATTTATCAATGAGGAAAACGAAGTTATATGAACTAGCTTACACAAAGTCTTTTAGGAAAAAATTAGAACAAGAATCTTTGCTCAGAATTTTATTTAGAAGCATTGTTTACGAAACTCAGGGTCAAAACCAACGTCCTTCTGTCTTTCTAATCCTAATATAATTTCAAATCTTTTTTAATTACGTGTGACAAGGTCCAAGGTGCTTACTGTTTGATAAAAGGGTTCATTCTGGCTCTCATAACTGTATATCTTATGAAACAAATACAAATGTTATTGTGGATGTGGCTGTCATGTTTGTGATTAAAATCCAAGGATTTTCCACACTGTTTTTTCCAACAGCAATTTTCTGTGGCCTTTTGAGGTTGCATGTGTATGGTGGAGGTCTGTAACTGTTACAGCAGCCCTGCTAAGGATTATTGCTTCTCCAAGGATCAACTCCAACTCAAGTTTCATAAAGTAAATTTATGTTCACATTACAACATTTTTATAAGCTCAAATGCATGCATCTAGCCCTTTGTGATTTTTATGTACCCAGGGAGATGTAGGCTTAATAACATTACTAGTAATATTCTTCAGCAGTTCTATTTCTAGCATCTTGATAATATGACATTAATTATAAGGGAGCATTATTCTATGTTTTGTAGAATTGTTGGCTCCATATAAAATGCTTTATTAATAGTTTTTCCTCACTTCCAAAATTGAAATTCTTTTCTACATCTGTGAGAAAATGTGGTTGCTCATTGTCTCTCTTTTCTATCCATTCTTTCAACTTGCATACAAAATAATTTTTATTATACTTTTGTTAATTCTTTTTGAGGAATTTTCTACTAAAATAAAAGCTGTGGTTTTTAGAACCTGGAAAATTCAATCATGAACCAAATTATACAACATGCACAATGTGCCTGTTTGTTCATGACACATATAGATAGCTAGCAAGTTAGGAAAAATAAGTTTGACATTTGCCGCTTTTTACTTTAGATATCACACAATTACTTTATAATTTAAACCACATCTACTTCCAAAGACAGTTTGAGCTTTCTTGTATCACAATGTGAGGAAGAAGCAGCAAGGACAGTAATGCAGTTGGGGGTGTAGCTCACTGGTAGAGCACTTGCCTCGTTTGCCTGAGACTCTGAGCTTGGGCTCCAGCAACACATCCCCATCCAAATGCAGAGCTCAGTGCAGGTGTCCAGTATATGCACAAGCAAAGCAAATTAGAAACTATGAAATGGTTTTCTTACTGCAAACTTAAACAATATTATTTTTTCTCAGAACTTCCCAGTAACCAAAGCAAAAGGGGAATTTACATGGTGTTCAGAACAAACAAAATGATGACTGTTAAATAAAAATTATGAGAAGTCATTGTTTTAGACAAAGTTACTGCAGTAGGTCCCAACAAACTGGGCTAAAAATCAAAATGGAGCCATTTACATTTATGTTCCAAGCCACCAAACTGAAACTAAACTGCTTATCTGACCCGAGCAATCAGAATTAGAGAGACAGCCTTGTTCCCAAACAGGCCACTTTCAACTGGCATGCTAATGAAGTTCTCTCTGCCTTAATGTTTTCACAGAAAAAGTAACCTACAGTATCTGGTTGGTAACCAATCAGTTTGTTTCTTTGTCTAGCCTTGCAAGGAAAGTAACTTTGAAATGAACACTCCATTTTACCTTTCTAGCTTCTGCTCTCTTCAGCCTTTTTTTGTCTATAAAGCTAAACTCTTCTGGAGCACTTCTTTAATTTTAATGAAGTGTTACTGAATTCTAGAATTAAGAATAAAGCCAAGTAAGATCTTTAAGTGGTACATTTTCCCCCTTGACATGCACACAAAAACTCCTTCTAATAAAATTTTCCTGCAGGGCTGGTGGTACAAATGTGTAGTCCCAGCCATTTGGAGGTTTAGGCAAGGAGGATCCTTAGTTCAAGGCCAACCTGAGCTAATTAGTGAGACTCTTCCTCAGAAAACAAAGAACAACAACAACAAAAAACCAAAACAATAAAAAAATGAACCTTTTCCTATTAAGGTAAGCAAATAAAGATTTTTGGAGATATTTATTGAAAAATTTTAACTCAACCTTTTAAAATATTTTATACTTCATTTGAAGACATTGTTAGTTTACATTTTGTAGGTAACCAAAAAAGAGTTATTTCCCCTG